GCCTAAATTAGGAGTGATGTAAGTGACTGTTTGGCTGTTATAAGGGCCCACGTGTAACATTTATGCATCAATTGCTGCAGTTTGTGAAAGTTAAATGTTTTTTTTTCTCATGTTTGCATTCATTTTTGGTTAAACTGTCACCATCGAAACACTGGTAAGTTTAGATTCACTTAAACACATCAGTGCATTCTGTGGATGACAATGCATTACTCTGAAAGAAATGCTTTTATTTCAGATTGACAATAGATGGCATCATTTTCATATGCAAATTACTGCCTTTACTAAATCATGTTCAGTCGTTGACTCATGCATGAATACAAAAAAAAAATCTCTTCACTCCTCTCTTCATGATCCTACAATAATCACCACATTAAATCCACTGCAGCTGTTTCACCAACCTTAAAAAATGCAAATGTGACCTGCACTCCAGCTGGCATAAAAGTTAAAAGAATGTTAGCAATCATCTCACTCCCACTCATCCCTGTGTTAACCACAGGCTTTCCAAGGGAAAAATATTTGGGCTGCAAGGCACGTTTCACGAGAGAATGCATGAAAAGCATGAGTAGCTGTTTCTCCACTTTAGGTGGGTGGCTGGCATGGCATCATAAGCCGTGCTCAAGTGTATCAGCTAATGCTTTCTCATGTAATGTTTCGGTGTCACGAGTGCAGAATCATCAAGGATATCCCGCAGCAGCGGAGCGCAGAGGCGAAGTGCTTCTGAGACCTCACATGAACCGATATTTGTACCGGGCTGTGATATTTTTCACCCACTTCGGATGAACAGAAAGAGGACAGACATCTGAAAAAGAAGGCGCCGGTAGTGTAGCGATAGAGTCATCCCCGGAGAACTGACCCCGTCTCAACCCCCTGCTTCAACTCATGCAAAAAGACTGTGGCAGAAAACCGAGCTACTGGCCAGCCCAGGCAGGAGGGTAAAGAGGAGGGCAGAGGTCCCGCCGATGGGCACAAGAAAGTGCAGGAAGAGGACAATGTGGGGAGGGTGGGGCTTGGCACCAGTGTTCACCCATCATGCCATTCCACTCCCAGGACACTCGACTGTGCAAAGCACTGTTCCAACACTGTAATTTGGACTAAAAATATTGGACTTTCTTTCCTCCTTCCTTTTTTCTAAATACTGTGGCTACTTTTTTCAATCCTGTGGCTCACCAGAATGGTCGTTCGCCCCTATCAAAGCGTACATGTGCAGGACCTCTCACTGACTTGCGCCCATACTTGTCTTGGTTGCATGTTAACAGCGGGGTGTGAATAATAAAACCTGAATAAAACACCCTGCAAGAAATATTAAAGAAGCTACGGTTTATCTGCCATGTGTGTGTGTTTTTCCAAAATCATTGTTAGTTCAGACTCATCTTGTGGTTAATGTTGTAATTATTATTTCTAAAGTGCACTGTTTGGATAGCTGTAATCCACCTTAGGACATTTGCTGCTTCTGCCATGAATCACTGCATGTTTTTCAGCACACACCTACATTTATTTTAGCACTTTAAAAAAAATGATGCAATAGGAACTGACTTGCAAGCAAAATCTCACATGCAGCAAACTGTACACTGAGACTGTTAGAAATTGTGTGAGTGTTATATTAATTCCTGAATGACTGATCTACTGGAGAGTCTGTACGTCGGCAAATTTTTTTTGCGAAGATGTCGGTCAAATATGCAGCGCTCCTGTATAAATCTAAAGCGCCTGTTTATTGCATGACGCAGCGCATTACAAGCCTCTATGTTAAACGAGAGGTAGTCTCAATTCAAGGTTTGGTATTTTGTTTCAAGTTAACTGAAACCGTAAAGCATGAGAAGGGACCCCAGCTTTGTAATCTACACTGTGCAATATATCATTAATATGCTGCAATGTTACCCTCAGGAATGCCATGTTTGTGGGTGTCCTACCCCAAAAAGTCCATTGAAGAGACCCAAACCTTGTCATTACAATTCCAATGATAATGACAGCTTTGAAAAGCTCAGGGTTATTTCAGTTTTCTCTCTTCACTGTCATAGTAATTACCTTTAAATTTAGTCCTCAAACTCTGTTCGTGATGCCAGAGCAGAGAGCGACCCTACATGATTCAGTTTACAGTAGCTACACCCAACACATTTGCGATATCTGCTTTTTGGTTTGATGAATAATCTGCACTGGACACTCTGGCTCCTGCCTGCAGAAAGCTGAACAAGATGATGGAGTGAATTCAAGCGGTTTTGGGCTTGAATTATGACCTGCGCTAACTTTACATTGTTTCATTTGGATAAGCGTCTTCGAAGATGTAAGCCAAGTGCATTTACGTTGATTCTTAGTGGTTTTCCCATAACTTCAAAAAACAACTGTGGGAGATGGCAGCGAAAAACACATATTTCTTTTCAGGACAATACGAGTGACAGGAGCCAAATGTACCTCATGTCATCATGTGGGAGGAGATCATGTGAAAACAGATCCTGTTTGATAGAGTCCAGCGTGAGAAGACTGTAATTACAAGATGAGTGACAAATACAGCCAGTCTGTGTCAGTCCAGACGCTGTGAGCAGGACAAACATCTTAGAATCTCCCACAGCAATTGGTTTTAGATTCGCTTTGTTTATTTCTTATACAGGAGAAAGTCAAAAGCGCTCTTTGGCAAAAGGAGAGACTAAAACACAACAAAACTGTAACTGTGGATGAAAAAAAATGTCAGTTTTGGTTCCAATTTCTTAAATAACAACAACAAAAAAAAGAAATAGATTTACAAAAAAAACATCCTTCAGATTTTAACTAGGAATTTCTTAATCTTAAAAAGGATCAATGACAAACTGTAATTGTTGCAGCTCAGGTCTGGTGATTTTCAAAAGGGAGATGTACAAAGAGCACATCGATACGCAATGTTGATATTTCAAAAAAGTCATAGATTTTGAATTAATGCCTCATAAATAAAAAAGGTCATGTTGCTACAAGACAGCCATGTATAGTTTTGTAAAAGCTAATCAGCAAAGGTGTAAAAAAATAATAGCATTAATATCAGCTGTCACACTTTTACAGTGTTGTGAATTAGTAGGAAACACAACTGAGCCTTTGTTAATGTTATCAGTAGATTTCTGTCCTGTGATGTATGTATTGTCATATTTGTGTTTTATTTACTTTGAAAAAATTAGCAATTCAGTAGGAATCTGTGCAGTCATCTCCTCCTAAAGCTAGCTAGCTAGCCGTACTGAGCTAGCTAGCTAGGTTGTCAACTAACGTTTTGTCAACAACCATTAAAACTTTGTCATTACTAGTGGCTGAAAATCAGTTTTGGTAATGTTACAGGTGGATTGTTGTCATGTAATATATGTATATTCATATTTGTGTTTACTTACTTTGAAAAAAGTGTGCTGAAAAGATTGGCAAGTCAATAATAGTTTTGCAGACGTCTCTTCCTAAATCTAGCTAGGTAGCTCAGTACGGCTAGCTAGCTAGATTCAGGAGGGCATGACGAGAGAAGCCCAGTTGTAGCTGTTGTAGATAGAGCGAGCGAGCTTTCTATATACGAGGTGTGTCAGGAAAGTTCCAGGACTGGTGCCACAAAAGATATATTTCAAACCCAAACTACAAAGTTCAAGTTTCCCCCTTTGATGTAATCCCCCTGGAGTGTAACGCACTTCCCCAGCCTTGAAGGATTCATCCAGGATCCTCCGTCGTCACAGCCATCTTAATGTCGTCCACGTCTTCTAAACGGGTCCCCTTGATGACCCCCTTGAGCTTGGGGAAGAGGAAACAATCCCACGGCGCCAGGTGGGGTGAGTGGGTAGGTTGCTCCATCCAGGAACTGTCGGATGCTCAGGGCGTTGTGAGCATGCGCGTTGTCATGGTGAAGCAGCCACGACTTGTCCTGCCGCATCTCTCGCCTCTTGTCGCGCACTGAACGAAGCAAACACCGCAGGATCTCTTTGTAGACGTGCTGGTTGATCATCTGAAGGGGAAAAGTTGTAGTTTGGGTTTGATATATATCTTTTGTGACACCAGTCCTGGAAGTTTTCTGACACACCTCACACAACAGCTAAAGTTGTAACTGAAATCCAGTTTCTTAAGGAATATGATGCTATACGACATGATGTTGTTGTTGCTGTATGTTGTCATGTTTGCCTGTCATGGAAGAGGGGTCACTCCTGATTTCCTCTCTCTGAGGTTTCTTCCATTTATTCCCCCATAAAAGTTTTATGAGGAAAAATTTATCTTATCAACAGTTAAAGGACAAATGATACTGAATGCTGCAGCCACATATTGTAAAGCCCTTTGAGGAAAACCTGAGGCTATACAAATAAAAACAGACTCGTAAGTAGTGCATGGGTTAAATTAACCTTGGAGCTCTTGGACAAAGAGTAGTATGTAGGATGATTAAACCCTTTCAAAAACACAACTTGTCAATTAGAAAGTACTATTTGGGTAGAACAAACTTTTAAAACTGAAAGAAAAAGTTGTGTTTTGGGTGGAACAACCCTTTAAAACCACAACTCATTAGTTAGAAAGTACTATTTGAGTGAAATAAATCTTATAAATAAATCGTGTTTTGGGTGGAATAAACCCTTTAAAGTACAACTCATCGTTAGAAGCTACTATTTCGGTGAAGTAACGCTTTAAAACTATAAATAAGTAGTATTTGTGGGTGGAATAAACCTTGAAAGCCACAATTTGCTAGTTAGTACTATTTGGGTGGGACAAACCATTAAAACTACAAGTACAGAAGGTTGTAATTTGGGAGAAATGAGCCATGACGACCATGACTAGTTAGTTAGGGAGTTTTATATGTACTATCTTTTAAAATGTAAGTTGTATTCTGGGTGGAACAAAGCCTTCAGTAGGTGGCGCTGTCCTAATGAACAAGCTGCGGGCCGGAAACTGCAGCAAACATGGCCGCTCTGTCTCCATAGCAACAAGCCAACCAAACATTCACCGCAGGCTACCGGAGGCTGCTCCCGGTACCGGTTAAAACCTCCGCTAATTACTCCTGTTTGTGGGTTGTTTGTAGTGTAGCAGCTATGCCGACGAAAGGCTCCAAAGTGAAGCGGGTGAAAGCCGGGTAAGAGCAGCTCCAGTTGGGCTGTTTACTGACGTTCAAACGGAAACTCGAGCCTCAGTTTGTTTTATTATTTCTGTGTTCGGTGACAGGAAAGGAAAGAAAGAAGGCAAACAGGAGTCCAAGGCGGACAAAGAGTCCGACGTTGAGAAGGCCAAGGCCAACGCGGCTCTGTGGGAGCTGAGGTTACAGGTCACCGGGCAGTCGCTCACCGAGTACCAGGAGGCCTGCCACAAGCTGGCCCGAGCTAACGAGCAGCTCACCGGTCAGCTGTACCGCGCCGAGAAGGACGCCATCGACATAACCGGCCACTGGCAGAGACAGCTGGCGGCCAGAGAGGAGAAGGTCAGACAGTAGCCTCAGGTTCAAGGGTGTCATCTTTGACTGTGACAAACAGATGAACTCTGTGATTAAAGGGTGCTGCTTTCAGCTAAAGGAACACCGCCAAGCTGAGATCCATCCTCTGTCTGAGTGACATTAAGACTGTGACCATTCATTTCATCAAGGCCAGATGACTGTAACGCTGTCAGCCAGTCCTCTCTGTCTCCTCTGCAGCTTGTGCAGGATGCAAGACCTTTAACTTGTACCAACAAGACAAGTGTGAAGCATCACTTCTGTACTAGCGTCCCTGCTCTGACTTAAGGCTGATTTTAAGGTTCTTAAAACCACCCATGAGTTGGCACCTGGATGCAGTTTTGATCCTCTAAGTTCTCTTAGATCCTCAGATCAGCTGCTGTTATCTGAGGAGGTTTGCGACAGCAGCTGCAAAGCTTTGGAATAATCTTCCTTTTGTAGGCAAATCGACATTTGTAAGAAAAATCTCAATGTGTACATGTTTTTAGTTACTTTTGGTCGCTTTTATAGTTTTATATCAATTTTATTTCCCATGTTGCTGTACAGTTTTGCCTTGTTTTGTACAACTTTGACAAATAGATGTCCTCACTTTGCACATATCTTCCTCGCTGCCTGACCGATAACATTCACTTAGTTCAATCCAGGCTGTTTAAACCGTGCATATACATAAACTTGATTTGTTTTTGTCGCTCCCAACAGATCAGCATGCTGGAGAAAACCCTCGAAAGTCAAGAGGCACTGGCACGTGAAGAGAAGAACAAACTGGTAAGCTCTTTTCACGCACGGCCACAAGAAAAGAAACGCGATTCGAGATTTAATATAGTCCACAAAACATACACGAGCTAGCATGTTCATAGCAGCGTGCAGCATTGCTGTAATTTACTGTGCACATCTTAAACCTGTAGCATCTCAAAAATGTGCTGTGCTGTGCCTTAACAGCTGTCTTGTGTGTAATTATGTTGACGTTTATTATGTAAGAAAACAACAACCAAACAAAGCGACCATAAAATAAAAAAACAAACCCTCACATTCCAAGTTACATGGTCTAATGTTATTTTAATCCATGTCAGTGGCAGCAGAAAAAAAAAAAAAAGAAAAAACATAATTTAAAAGTGCTTGGTCGGGGAAAGGCAGTCACACTGGTCTTGATGTGTTAACCATACTTCACATGATCCTTACTCTAAAATGCCAGTTTAAGTTGCATAACGTATACCAAAAGAACTTATTCTGACTCCTGTCCTCACTGAACTCTGCTCCTTATAGTTACGATCAAGCTATCAAACTTACATGACAAATTCAAAGTGGTTTAACAAGGCAGAAAAGGTACAGAAAAACCTCTACTGCCAGCAGCTGTTTTCCATCTTCCAGCTCTTACTTCATGATGGTAAAATTGAGTCCAATAAGCTTCTGAGGATGAAAAAAAAAGAGGCTTGGTCTGGAGCAACTTGAAACAACCCGTTCTCAGACATGTATGGAACTGTCACATATGTCCAGTAAGGGAAAAAAAATACTGCGGTTGTCTCTTAAGATGTGACTTTAAGACATGCTGCTCGCAGCACTTTTCTCATTGCAGGATGATAAAAAAGGTTCATTTTGAAAATAGGAATGCCCTGACTGTTGTTTAAGGGGAAACATAGCGAAACTGAATGTTGGGAAACTCACTGAAGCGGATAATTGTTCTGTATGAGCTTCTATAGCTGCAGTTTCTGCATGTGAAGAAGACAGATGCAACCAACACTGATCACTTTAACTTTAAACCAGCAGATATATTTGGAAAGCTGGCTCTTTAATAGAGCACACAGAGAGAAAATTGCAGCTGATGCAAACGAACTTGTTTAACTGTAGACTGCTGCACCGATGGAGATGAACAAGTTATCTGAAGAATAACGATTAGGCCTAGAGTTGTAATCAGATGGTTGATAACCTCTCATTTAGTCGTCATGTACATGTTTGTGGGTGCGTGTTTTTCTAGTCTCTCATGACTTTGGTCACTTTGTCAGATTATTCCTCAGGCTGGCTTCTCCACAGTAGCATCTTGAGGTATTTAGCACGACTGATCTGTGCTTACATCGGTTTGCAAAAGACTATTGCCCATGTGAACTCTGACATTAACTATTACAAGCTGCACTTATGGTACTTTTGCAGCAGCAGCTCCCGTACAAAGATGAACAGTTGCATTAGGTCGGAGCTATTTTTACACGGATGCACTGAATGCGTTTTCCTTCTGCTTATCTAATTCTGTAAAGGAGAGGGACTTGAACAGGATCCAGGACAGAATGAAGATACTGAAGGAGATGGAGGCCCAGATGGAGCAGGAAATCAATGACGTGAGGAAGCAAAAAATGTTTTATAGTTCGTGAGATTGAGAAAATGCATGAAAATAACCATGACCTCTTTTATTCTGCAGCTTGGAAAAAACATGGATGATGCTGAGAAGGAGCACAGGGAGAATATAAACAAAATGACGAACAAATTCTGCAAAGAAAAGGTTTGAAAGCATCGTTTTTTTAAATTCTCATTCATATGGAAGATTGTTTCATAAATCAAAGGTAATAAATCGGTGGGATTTGAAAATACATCGGTCGAAATGAGTGAAAAACCAGCTTTAACGTTCCCGCTGGAGGAGTGAACGCCAGTTTCGTAACTTTCCCTGCAGGAACGCCTGGAGGAGGACATGGTGGTACAATGCAATCAAATGATGGCCAAGATGAAGCTGGACCACCTTGAAGCCGTTGGGTGAGTGCGTTTCTGCTGTCACTGTGCAATCTAATTTTATCCTTTAAACTGCACTGTCATGCAGTACGCAAAGAATAAATAATTTCCTCATGCAAGTGTTTATGTATGTGAATATATATATAACTAGTACTAATGTTATTTTCTTCACCGCCCCGCTCATCATGACAGTGTACATCACCTAAGCCAACGATCACATCCTCAGCACTCCCTGAAACTCCTGCACGGAGGAGAGAGCAAAGCGTGTGTGAAAGACCATAGTTTATTACCTTTGAGGCCATAGGATGTATACTCCGCCTCTGCTATGTTTAGTTATTTTTTACAGCTCATAAAACATCAACATTGATACTGGTGTGGTCCTGCCGTTTTGGTCCTGGTGTCGGTAATTGATTTAATTCTGAATGCGTGTAGGTATCTTTAAATGTCAAGTCCAGCGATCTAGATAATTCAGTTCTCTGTGTAGGCGCCACAAAACCAAGAACAAAAATATGCTCTGTGTGGTGAGAATCTCTGCACCTTCAAAGCTTTTGCCACCTTGACTAATTATTAACCTTGAAATGTTGTTTTTTTTCTACTTTGGACACTCCAGGCAGGTTAAAATAAATCAAAAATGTGTACAAATGTTGTCAAGCATCATTTCAAGACTACTACAGACGTGTTCATAATCGGGGCTAAATTTCTCAGTGGCTCTTTTGTTTGTACTGTAAACTATTTAGGCAGTTGGAAGGTGCCATGTACTCTGCATTCAAGGAGCGAGATCGTCTCAATGAAGCACTGAAGTATCACGTAAAGGAGTCACAGGACCTACATAAATTGACAAATTCTCTGGCGAAGGAAAATACCTCGCTGGCACTGAACAAGGTATGTTTGAACCGTAGGACAGCAAACATCACTGTAACTATTAGTCCTTGGATGGAGACTATTCATCTCCATAAAGTCATTTTCAATCATTTTCACTCACGAAACACTTGTCAGATCTGTGCAGAATATATTTCAGGTGGTTTTTCCCTTGTGTTGTTTACTTGTGCTGACCCTGTGTATTTTGCTTGTGGTCCTGCTCCCACCCCCCACCCTCTGACTACTATCCAGCCTCTCAGTGGTCAGTGGTTGTGGTGAGTTTCCACTGGTGTCTGGGTTCAAATTCAGTGGCTTATCCTTCACAGTTTTGCTGGCACCGATACTTAAAGACAAATAAATATTGGGCACATTAATCTTGCCTGATGATGACAGCTAATCAAGAGAGTAAATCCGCCCTGCTGAAGCTTCGGCCGGTCACTCAGCAGTACGGGCTACGACACAAATCGTTATCTGTTCTACCTCTTTATTGGCATGAAAATGAAAGGATTTTCCAAATTTAGCTCTGTGTCATCCACCTCACAGCTCTGCTCCTGTGCCTGCTCTCACAGGACATGCTTCAGATGACCGTAAAGAAGAACGAAGCTCAGATGGAGGCTCAGAATCAGAGGCTCTCTGAACTGAGGGCCAAGGTGGTTTCCCTGGAGAAGGCGTTGGTGCTGAAAGCTGGGGAACTTGAGCTGCAGGAAAAGAAGGAAAAGATGAACCTGGTCACCATCCAGGCCAGCCAGGTGGAGCTGGAGAAGCTGCAGAACGTCCTCGCCATGCGAGAGAAGGAGTTGGGGCACATCAAGCAGCTCGCGAGCACCATCGTAGAGAAGCGCAGAGAGCTGGAGGAGTTCTTCCATGAGGCCCTGGCTCACGTGAAGCAGGAGATCGAGGCCAGTAGGCTCCAGTACAAAAAGGAGGCCCTGCAGGGTTATCGCTGGAGATTTAGAGAAGCCACAGCAGGAAAGATAAAGTTTCCACCCATCCGCACCTTCCATAAAAGTCTCCACAGTACCAACTCTGTGTATTCAGACATGGAGGCAGCTGTGACATGGTAGGCCCACTTTCCTCCCCATCCTTTCCATGACTTGTACCATTAAGCATATCTCTGTGATATTTTTAATTCTTCATGCTGAGTAAGGTCAGAGGTTTATTCAGTGGTCAGCAAAACTCATAATGGTTCGTGTCAGTGAATTTGTACAATGAAGGTCAAAATTAATTTGCTTTCATCTCCTCGTTTTAAGGACTCATCCTCCAGGCAGCAAAGTTCAAATCTCAGATCTCACATGGGAGCAGAAGGAACAAGTGCTCCGGCTTCTCTTTGCTAAAATGAACAGACAGAGAGAAAGGTAATAAAACGTCCAAATAGTTGCTTAATGTATGCCTTAGCAGAAGCTTTGCTGCTTGCTTGTTCATCGCTTATGGACTTCATCCTAGATAATATATTAAAATCCATTCGTAATCCCCTAAAATGAAGCGAAACTTCTGACTCAATTAACTCTGAAGAACAAAGTGCAGTGACACCATGCAGTTGTTGAGGCCGAACTTCTGCTGACTCCTCCCTCTTTTTAATGTTTTAAACAGCCATTTTCTCAGCAGAAGAGGATACCATAAAACATCAGTTAGGCTTCAGCTAATTTTCTTTTCCATCCAGCTGCTTAAAAAGAATGAAGAAAGAGTCTGGGCACAATAGTAAAAATAGGCCCAGCCGCAGAGTCGTGTGCTTGGAAACAAACATCTGGTCACGTCGATTTGCTTTCAGCCTATTGGCCCCTCTTCACGTGCACCAGCAGTTTATTTTGTTCTTTGAACGCTTGTGGTCAGAGAGCAGCTGGTAACATGATTTTCAGAACGGAGTGTGCAGGGGATCTGGATGTATGGGGGTAAGGCAGGCAAGAGCAGAAGTATATTCATGTTAGCAGTGGTCTGGCACCTAGTCCAGCAGAATAACACAGAACATTTGGCAGCTCCAGAGAGTCAGCGAGCAGCATTCAGATCCATGTGCACCGTGCTGACCCAGAGTAACCCTGTTTCAAGACAGGCTTGCAGGCCTGAGTGAAAAGACACCAGTGTGCTAAAACATGGCTTTTCGCTGCGAGCCGCTGTTATTTAACTGCAACTCTGCATTTTCCCCCCCGATAGAAAAGTCGAGCAACATCTGGCTGCATCTCCCTCCTCTGAGAAGAAGAGCCTTATTGACAGTGATGCTGCCGGGTAAGACACTGAAGGAATGCGAGAGAATAAAAGTTGTGCCTCATCCTTGCAATTAAGAAGCCTGCGCAGATTTATTGGTCCCGCATTCCATGTTTAGCAGAAAGAGCAGCAGCTGTGAGAACATGAGTGCCTACATGTGATTTATCAAGACAGTTGCATAATGATGATTGTCTTCCAGAATTAGAGAGGAGCTCTCCCCAGTGACCATCAGCACCCAGGCGCCTGAGTCCATTCTGCCCTCAAACCCCAACAGCCTGCCAGATATACACATCACATGACCTCTGTGTGGCCTCTACATCTCACAGATTGTTTGCCTCTGCTGTGTGTGTGTGTGTGTGAGCGGCAAGTATAGAAGAATACAAGATGTTTGCATTGACGTGTGACTTGTGAGTACTTTCTTTCATCATACAGCCCGTGTGAATTCTGTTAAACCCACTGAAAGGATCGCTGTACTTCAATACAACACTGATACCAAAACACGCACCAGACAATACACAAGATCCCTTAGACGGTGCGTCAGTAAAACAAAATGCAATCTGTCCGTGCCCTCTATAGTCATTCATGGAGAGTACACATATTAGTTTTAATACAAGAGTTGTATTTTAGAAAACAGGAGATGTGCAGACCTTTTGCATTGTTAAACTCTCAGCCATAGTGGTGGATATTTACACAATATCCATATGTACAAATCTAATATAAAGCCTTCATAAAGTATTATTTAATAATTTGCATTTACGAACTATTCACAGTGAACATATAAGTCTTTATGTGGATGAAGGGTCTGGTGGTTTTTCAGACTTGGATGGAGTATTTAGCGTCCCATAGTCGGCATGGTAACTGCAGGACTTTTCAAGGTGGCGTCCTCGGCTTTCCATTGTGAGGTGACGGTTTTGATCTGTGTGTAGAACTGGATGCCCTGAGGAGCAAAAAAATAAGAATAAAAAACATTTACTTTCAAAACTTCGACCACTGCATCTGTGTTTTTCTTCCAACTGTAACAATGGGACGCGTTCGTTTATGTGACGCTCACTTGTTTCCCGTAGAAGTTCGTGTCCCCTCTGAAGGATCCTCTGGATCCGGTGAAGGAGAACATTGGCAGCGGCACAGGGATGGGCACATTCACTCCAACCTGCGGAAAACAAGTATTGTCTCTTTCATTTCCATAAGTGCAAGCTTTGTAAAACAATTCCCTCGAGATCCTAAATTGCGAGGATGAGTAAGATGCGGCGGATGAAAGATGTGGTACGTCCACGCTGTTTAGGAAAACAAGCTTACATGATCGCACTAAGCAAAGTTTAACCTTTGGCTTATTTTTGCAGCTTTGAGAGCATACTATGGTCTTATGAAAGGGATGAAAAACTAAATAAAACATTTTGTTATGAAGGCAATAGAGGAATGGCATGGTTGGTTTCGAATGTTTGAAGCAGCAGGAATAAGTTTGGACACACTCAGGCCTTTTGGCGAAGGTGCATGAGGAAAAAAAAAAAAGAAAAGTAGATGTTTGTTGCATGGAGGTTTGGAGAGGAGTACAGCACATGGCCTGCACAGCATTCCCCGACATGTGAACAGCAAACACAGGGCATAACTAGGCTCCACAGGCAAACAAACAGCCTAAAGGCTGGCCATATTTATGCTTAACTGCTGAACAGGACCCTAGGAATTCCTTTTGAGTATTAATTTTAAGATTTCCCCCTCCCTAAATACAACCTGGAAAAATGTTTCTATGTCCCCCTGTTTTCATTTAACAGACACATATTTGCTGTGGCTATTTGTAGCCTTGACGGGTGGGGAAGTGGAGAGATGGGGGTTGCCGAAGGTGTGTATTTTAGGTCAGGAGCAAACAAGGGTATACTTGACATGGAAAATAATTGTTTTTTTAATGTGTGTGAAGGTTTTCAAACAGAAATGTGATGTGCTCCCTGCCTGAGATGCTGCACAGACATGACAGAGTGATGTGAATGCCTCCTTTCTCCCAAAACAGAGGAACACATTTGGAGGCTGCAGCCACTCACCTGGCCCACGTCCACCTCGTGAGTGTATTTGCGTGCAGTGGCACCATTTGTGGTGAAGATCGCTGTACCGTTGCCATAGGGGTTATTGTTGACCAGGCTGATGGCATCATCCAGAGTGTCCGCCTCAAGAACAACCAGCACAGGCCCGAAGATCTCCTCAGTGTAGCACTTCATCTGAGGCTGAGAGAGCACAAAAGAAAACACTTTTACTGGTAGAAGAGTTATTTTTAAGTGGTACTCAGATGTAAAAACATTTCTGGTTTGCACATAAAGTCCTGAGTCCACATACTGTGACACTGCCGATGATGGTCGGTCCCACAAAGTTGCCGTTTTCATAACCCTTGACCTTCACGCTTCGGCCGTCCAGGAGCAGCTTCGCTCCTTCGTCCACGCCGCTCTTGATCAGACTGCACACTCGCTCCTTGGCTTGGGGAGAGATCAGAGGCCCCACATCTGCTCCAGGCTGGTCTCCTAGCAGGGCCCCCAAAACAACCAGCTGTACGGTCACATGCTACGGCGCTCACAGTATAGGAGCACATCAAGGGCACTGACATTCAGCTACTTCTTTACCCACAAAAACGCAAAAGCCATGGCGAGGGGCACCCTGAGGCACTCCCTCCTTAATGTATACTGGCAGCTTTCCTGTGTACGACACAAATTAAACTCCATATCACTGCAAACAGGGAAAAATCATTCTCCCATTTTACTTCACATCAACTTCTTTTCTGAGAGGATTTGATGCCCTAAACCGCTATTTAGCTCCGGGCCGCAGATCTGGCCACAAATTTGCAGCATGGCTGACTCAACAAGCTCCCTCTCCCAGCTGAGAGCGAAGTTACAACAGGGCATAAGGCGAGAGGTGAGGTTAGGGCAGCGTGGGTGGCCCCCGAGAAGAAACCAAAGGCCCTTGGGGCAACGGGCTCAGGGGAGATGGAGGTGAAGGGCGGGGTGACGGGGTGTGGTACCTGCATTCACGCGCAGAGCCTTGGCACGCTCCACCAGCTCCGGCAGCCAGCTCCGCGCCTCACCCACCAGGATGGCTGTGGACAGAGCCATGCAGCGTTGTCCCGCTGCCCCGAACGCTGCGCCCACAAGCTGGTTCAGAGTGTTCTCCTTGTTGGCATCAGGCATCACCACACCATGGTTCTTGGCTCCCTACAGTACACAAGAAGTGGTTAGCCTTCTGCCGTTTGATCTCCACATTACAGCAACTGGTTTGTCACAAGAAGAAACATAATATCAGGGAATTGCAAACCAACAGCCTATAAATTTTACACTCTAAATGTGTTACACATTTAAATCCTGATTGACATGAATCAAATTAAACCCAACGTTTACAGTTCAAAGCATTTCTTTTCGACAGTGATGCACAGCTGCAATCTGCTTTGCACTTTATCTCATCTGTACGACTCGCAGTTGTTAAAATACAAGAATCTGTTGGCCGATGCTGCCACCTTCTGGACGTTTAGGGAACGTCCAGCAGGTTAAATTGTATTCAGTACTCACCATGTTGGACTGGACCCTCTTGCCGTTTTTGGAGCCCCTCTCGTAGATATACTCTCCTGCTTGATTTGACCCGACAAAGCTGATCGCCTTGATGGCCGGATTGTCACAGATGAAATTCACAGCTGTGGCAGAAAGACAGACATAGAACTGTAGTAACTCGTCTTATTAAAATGTCTGTTAATTAGCTAAAGTAATTACTAACCGCTGATATGCATGACAGAAAAATATTCTCCAAAAGCTTAAACAAGTAAAATAACAAGTGATCGCTGTAATTTTTAGACAATTTAGTGATTGTTATGTCTATAGATTGTACTTGGTTGCTAATAGAAGGACTGAGAACAGGTTTAGAAATGCCTACATGAGCAAAAAGTCAATCTTCAACTTTAAACCCAGGGCTCTTGCAGCATATGAAAGATCATCATTATTAATGAAAAAAGCTACACTGAATTTTTGTAGCTTCAATGTATGGCTGCAACAAATTAATATTTTAATTACGGCTTCATCTACAACAGAAGATTTGAAGATTGTTTTACCAGTTAAATGTAAAAAACAAACAACAAAAAGCTGTGAGAAAGTCTATCATAGTCTCCCAGAGGAAAAAGTTACAGTCTTCTAAGTCCCAAACATATTTACCATCATGAAAGACGACTAAAAGCAGCAAATCCTCAACCTTGAAAACCAGATATAAAAATATTTTTCCTTAAATAGTTGAGTTTTCTTGTAAGTAAACTAAGCAGTCCCAGTTAGTCTCGTGTGCTGGATGACACAAAAAAAGACAAAAGGGAAAAAAAAAACCTTGAACCCACACAAAGGCACACCCTAAACTAAACAAAGGCTTCATTTCTTTTAATTTCAGATCCTGGGATTCTGTTTTCCCGACTTGGACAAACAGTCAGAGATGAGTCTTTACCATCGTGCTGGCCGTGGATGATGTTCAGCGTTCCGTCTGGAGCGCCGGCGTCCTGCAGCATCTTGGCCAGCAGCATGGTGCAGGTCGGCACGCGCTCCGACGGCTTCAGCAGGTACGTGTTGCCGCACACCATGCCCATCGGGAACATCCACAGAGGGATCATGGCGGGGAAGTTGAAGGGGGCGATGCCGGCGCACACGCCCAGGGGCAGCCGGTAGGTGTAGGTGTCCATGTCTTTGGTGATGGAGGGCAAGGTTTCCCCGAGCATCAGGGAGGTGATGCTGCAGGCGTGCTCCACGACCTCTGCAAAAACACAACACGTCAATGCAACACACACACAGAAGCTTTGAATGGGTTACTCACGCCTGATACATTTAGAATTTGCATCAGACTGATTAAGTTTCTACGGTTAAGTACAGACAAGTTGCCGAGTTGCCTGCATGTGTCTGTGTGTAGACTTAATGCAGCTCCACTTCTCCTTCATTTAACTGGATTGTGTCCTTCATTTATGACGCCTCATGGCAATAATTTGTTATTTAGATCATCTTGACCTCCGTTTTGTTCTCTTCAGTAGCACCTCTGGCAATCAGCAAGTGTTTAGAAGTTCACTTTTCACACATCTAAGCTCTGTAGTTTGTGTGAAGTTGTCAGTCGGTTGCCAACTTGGTCACACCTACATCACAACAGTAATGTTTACTTTCAACCCTGGCAGATGAAACAACAGGAAGCTGCTGCACACAGTTTCTAACACTGCGAATGCTTTCATATTAATTTATCAGTACGCTCAATCGTTATTGTGTTCCCTCTTTGACTGTGACCTTAAAGACTCGTCTTTAAAAGAAAATCTTTGCGACTGCTGCTTCAAAGATGAGCTTACTCATAACATTTAAAAGAGCTGCAATCTATATTAACTGAGAAAAAGAGCAAAGTCAGATATTATTTGCATTCAAAAACTAGTTAAAAAAAGAAATAAAATTACATATCTGCACTTTTCACAATACAAATTCAGCAGTATTTATTTTTTTTTACCAGTTGAACCTTCAGTGCTGACCCTTTGTCTCCCCCCTCTGGGAGTTACAGTAATTACACCAAAACTGTTGACACATACTTATGTCTCACCATTGTTTGCATTCTGTCTTTTACACTGCAATCCCTCATCTGAATGTTTTTATCTGGAGCATGAGAAACTTTTCTTGGGTGCTTTCTAGGTTTTCATCATATTCCCAGTTGCTGTAACCATCAGCAGTGCAGGAACGTCACGACAGATTGTGTCTCTGGTGCACGACAGAACACAGAGCGTCACCTGGCTTCATCAGCATTGTGTGAAGTCACTTGACAAAAGTTTAAATGTAACAGAAGGTCATCAATATGGAAAAATCCTGCACTCTAGCTTTGAGAAACTCTGGTGGAATAAGATTAAAAACGTCCTTCTGCTGCTTGAGAGGAATGTTTCAGACTAAACTCAACTAAGCGACTTGGCAGCGTTCTGCAGGTTCTTCACAGAGCAGCAATTTATTGCAGTAATAATTAGTTCAACACCTCCTTGAAGTTAATCGCCCTTTGTTCTGGTCGTCTAAGATAAAACTCAATAACAACTCTTGTACTAAAAGCCTCCATAACAGTGCATACGTTCAGCAGTTTCTTGCCCTTTGTAAGGTTAGCTAAGTGCTTGTGTGTTGCACATAAACTTACGCAATCCTCTGAACACATCCCCCTCTGCATCTGCAAGGGTCTTGCCCTGTTCCACTGTGATGGCCTTGGCGAGCTCTTTCTGAAACACAACAGCACATTCAAGTCAGCCTTGTGTGTTCACCTTAAACTTGTATGTCATTTAAAGCCAAGTTTGATCATCAAAACAGCAAACAGCAACTACAATGAAAAGGTTTTTTTTTTTTAAATGCTGTTTAACACAATAAAGTTTAACATGCTGTTGTGCAGAATGATAAACTTTCTCCGTGCACCTTACGCCTTCTGACTTACAATGTTGTCCTTGATAAGCTGCTGATAGCGCAGAAAGATCTGCTGCCGAGCCAAGATGGAGGTCTCGGACCAGGAGTGAAAGGTTCTGGAGCAGGAGTCTACAGCAGCCAACATCTCGGCCTGCGTGGCTTTAGGTACACGTGCAATCACTTCATTAGTAGCCTGCAGAGGAGGTCGGGGAAAAGGAGGAAGCCATCAGGATGGGTCAAGTGACATTAATACAGCAGATAAGGTTGATCTATTAGCAAAAAGGTGAAATTGTATTATTTGATTAACTTTAAATTTCTTGCAATTCATGACACCTAATGTGAATCTGCTCATGTAACCAAATACTTTACATTTAGGCTTTTACTACATGTTAATATCGAATGTTCCCGAACCGACTTGTACCAACAGACACATTATGTGACGTCTCACAGATGAAGCATCTCTAAAGGTTTTGCACTCATGAAGCAATACCTAACCCAGCTACATATGAGGATGCTGTCAAAAAAAGAAAGTGCAGTTTAGCAGTTCAGGCTTCACACAATACTTACAGGATTGTGAATATCCAGCCATTCTGAAGACTTGGACTCAACAAACTTGCCATCGATGAACAGTTTGGTGGTGGGCTGTGAGGAGAGATGTTACATTAACATTTGGTGTCAGACGTAATACCACACTGATGATGAAGGTGCACCACTCACCACTGAGGAGGAGGAGTAGCACATACGGCTGGCTTTATAAGGGACCTGAGAAGGAAGCAAATCATCAAATGAAGTAAGTGTTATTCAAGTGTGAATGCAGGTGTGCTTTACACATTCTGTAAAACATTGTGTGCACACAACCAGCTGTGTCCAGTTGCAACCTGTCGGCCTGCAAGATTAATGAGCAACTACTAAGTGTGGGGTTATGAACAGGGGACAAAGTCAAGTTGACTAAAGTGACCTGCAAGAATGCACGCTGTCCAGCCTTCTGGTGCACACTGAGGTTTCTTTGTATTTAAATGCAACTATAATACAATGCACAGTGTACGACTACCACATGCTTATAAAGTACCAATACCCCACAATTACTGTTAATAACTATATTTATTCCCATCATCAGAATCTGAACTAAACTTTTGGTTCACTTTGAACATCCACGTTTACACAAACTGTAGCTGTACATGATAACAGCTCACTTTCCTTTTTCTTTAACCTGTTGCCAATGTTCAAGTGCAGCTGTTATCTGATGTATTCACCGAGTTGTGGTGCAACTTGTTCACTGTCATAAATCAGCTTATAAAGCATGGTGCCTTATCAAAATGACATTAAAGCATGGCAATTCCTCTGATAATCTTTAGAGAGAAGAAACAGGTCAATCCCATCAATAACAGAATTAGATAATAATAGCAGATATAGCAGAATTAATCCTGCAGGACATGACACCAAACAATGAGCTGTCAGACTTTACATTCTGTAAATCTTACCTTTGTCCTCAGCACTGATCGTAACGCCGTTGACGCCATGCTGGAGGTATTATGAGGACTTGATCTCACTAACTCCGCAGGTAGCACGGTGGGCCAGCAGAAGTCAGCGTCCTCCCCTCATACTGATGTACTACCTGTGGGCGGGCTCTCAGGAAATCTACGGCCTGCGATAGGCTGGATGTTCGCACTCCCATGAATAGCGAGAACGTGATTGGCCGCCTCGGTGTGCGCTCTGTCCAATCCCCTGCCGGTATATGAGTTAATCCCGCCTTAGCTGCGGAACTCGACTACCCATTGGCTGGAAATAAATCCAAGCACTCTTCCATTTATTATCAGGAAGTTATGCAACTCGGAGCTGAACTGTGACCAGAAGCTCAGCCAGAACTCACCGTTAACTGTCTCCTAGCTGAGCTTAGTCGACCTGACGTTGTTTACTCTGCGTAGAGAGGAGACGTGTGGAGAAATGCGGACACAAACACTGGCCTGAAAATAACACACAACCATGCACTTGTCGTTAGTTTGCCTCGCCAAGGTACTGTAGTAACTCTGACTGTTTACTAAGTGTGTGTGTGCACATAGTTAATGTGAACCATATGAAGCCCAAATGGTGCTTAGTCATGGACCAAAGAGTAGGTAGGAGGGGGTTTAGGAGCCCGTCCTATTGGCTGCTGGAGGCTGATGAGACTTTGAGGAAAAAACTTCTTACAATAGTTGAACCTCTGCAGCTGAGTGAGAACTAGAGAGTTATGGCAACCCAGACCAAGGTGAACTGAGACACTGGATGTGACTATGTGCATGGAAATTTAGGACGTTTTTTCAACTCATTCAATACTTTCTGCATGTTTTTTTGGCTTTCTGTTTTAGCCGGTGCTTTACGGATACTTCAGAAGCTCGTGTTCCTGGAGGGTTCGCATTGGTAAGTCATGCCAGGAAGTTGTTCTGTTTGGATGTTTATTAAATGATTCTGATGTCTGCAAGACGATGGTTAACTTTTTGTGCAACAGCTTTTGCTCTTAAAGGCATCGAATATGACCAGGTTCCAGTCAATCTGATCAAAGACGGAGGCCAGCAGGTAAAGTACACAGATACAGGAGATCCATATCAAAGCAAAAATGACTTACTGGACATGATCATGAGAAGGTCATTGTATTTAAGCCTCCTGCACCACAATTAATGACCTGCAACTATTAGGAACTTAATCAACAGTTAATAATCAACAACAGTCTAAATTCTCTGATTCCAGCCTCTTAAATGTGAATATTTTCTGGTTTCTTTCCTCTCCCGTGACAGTACTAAATAAATATTGGATTGTGAACAACAAGCTATTTGTCATCCTGAGCTTTGCAAACCACTAATTGCCATTTTTCACCATTTTCTGACTCATTATTGACCAAACAGCAGTAATTGAGAACACAATCAACAATGAAAATAAGTGTTAGTTGCAGCCCTGATGCTGAATAAAATGAAAATATGCCAGAGGACATAGCAGTCTTAAATTAATGATGGAAGTCATGTGTTAGTCTCACAAACATTCTCTTTGTGTTTAAGCACACAGAGCTGTTCGGAGCAGTAAACCCCATGAAGCAAGTACCTGCAGTGAAAATTGATGGCGTCACCCTTTGTCAGTCGGTGAGTCTTAATATCTGCGTTATCCCATTTGACATTATTTCATTTCACCAGCTCGACTACTGAAAGGTTTGTCCTTTACTTACGTAGCTGGCAGTGATCCAGTACATCGAGGAGACCAGACCGGGACCTCGTCTTCTTCCAGCAGACCCAAAGACACGCGCCAAGGTTCGGATGATCAGCGACCTCATCGCCTCGGGGATACAGCCCGTGCAGGTGAGCAGAAAATGATTTCTGAAACAGACAGTTCAAATGGGTAGCTTCACTCTGGCTCACAAAAGTCACCAGGCCGGGAGCATCGCTGTAATAATTACCTCCTGGATGTTTCAGAACTTGTCTGTGCTCCAGAAGCTCGGAGAAGACAAGGCGCAGTGGGCTCAGCACTTCATTGATCGTGGTTTTCAAGGTTGGTGGCAGCCTGGCCCTGTTCTAACATCACCTAAATCATATTTGCAATCTAATTCACGTTATTGTCCTTCAGCTCTGGAGCCAATTCTAAAGGAAACAGCTGGAAAATACTGTGTAGGTGACGAGGTAAGAGCACGACTATCACACCAAAGAGTCATAACTGGGTGATGTACAGCAGACACGTTTCATCCTGCTCACGTTTTGCTTTTTAGATTTCCATGGCAGACTGCTGTTTGGTCCCACAAGTCTACAACGCAGAGAGGTATGTAATCAGACTTCACAAATGCCAACCTGAGCAGGAGATCAGCGTGAACGTTGACATTTTGTTGCAGCACGTCCTGCTTTTCCTCACCTTTGTTCATAAGAACTCCACTCTGTATGCCCAGACCCTGAACTCGATATGTGGAAGCGTGACTGCTGTGTTTTTACTCTCTACAGGTTCAAAGTGGACCTCGAACAGTTTCCAACTATCAAAAGGTTAAATCAAACCTTACTGGAGATGGAAGCTTTCAAAGTGAGCCATCCATCTCGCCAACCTGATACACCTCCTGACCTGCAGGCGTAAAGACAGCAGCTCCACAGCCTTACACACAGTCATGCTTTGTTAAATAAAATGCTTTGAAAGTGATCTCTCTTCCAGCGCAGTTCCTTTAAATAACAAGAAAACTTTTAGTTAAAAATGTTTATTAGCATTTTGATATGAAATTTCGTGTTTAAGTCACGCAGTCCAGCACGTGAGCCTCAAATTCATGCTGACGTTTGGGCAAGAGGACGTGAAGTCATGTGTGAAACGGATTTGTTATGCAAACCTGTGAGGTTAACGCTTGCACAATACTGCATGGATGGTTGTTTAAGACTCGTGCAATAAAGTAATCGCAGCACAGACACAAAAATCACAATAAAATTATCAGAAAAAAAAAAAAAGACAGGCAGAGGAAACACTTTTCTGTCACAGCACATCATCTGCCCCCGTTTGAATGTGATCACTTGTCACCAGGAATCTCCACTGTGCACTTGACTGTGTCGTTGTAGAAGGAACCGGAGCAGTCTGACCCACCGAACACCAGCAACGTGCAGCGGATATTAATGTTTTCACCCTGTTCCTGCTTCTCGGTGTCTGTTAGGACGGTGCAGCCCAAATTTAACATGCTGTGTCCGGCGCGAGGCTTCGAGCAAAGCAGCGGAGACACCACTGAGCTCCACATACTGGTGTCTGAGGGGGAAACCGTGAGATGTGATTTACAATAACGCTAAAGGAAATTTAGCTTAGATGTCAACCTTATAACACGAGCTAGATTACAGATTGTAGCAGAATTTATTTTTTATTTTTCCCCATGTATGCACAGTTGGACCTGTCAGTACTCACCAGTGTTAAAGATATGAACATCCTGCAGGGCTCCGATTGCACTGCAGCCTCCACTGATTAAAATCCTGTTGTCAGAAACTGGAAGTGCTGCATGAAACCTGTGCATTGACATGAAAGATTGTTTTATCTGCACCGTTATTCTTCTAAAGTCAGCCTTTTAAATGCATTATTTCATGTTCAGCCTAGAGAAAAAAACAGCGAGAAGATGATAGAATTTTCTTTTCCTATATATTTTGTGTTAAAGTAGATCAATGTTCAAACGCAGCTCTGTCTGACACACCATAAATACCATAACCAGATGGCCACATCAATGACATTTATCAAGGTTGATTGGTTCCTCACTCACCCTCGAGGCAGTGGTGGCATGCTCCCACACATCACAGCTGTGTACTCCATGAATCCTGCACTCGGTGAGAAATAAAAAGCCGTCGGTGCAAACCTGGGCAAAGCATCACCACCAAAGACAGTCGGTGAATCTTCATCTTACCCAGATCTAAAACGTGGAGATCGTTCAGGTAGGCAGCAGTCTTCCGTCCACCAAATATGACCAACTTCTGAGAGAGGAGCGTGGCCGAGTGCCTGTTCAATCAGCACGGTGTTAATTCAGAGAGCATTTATAGGAAATTTACCAAAGTGTACTTACCCAAACCGAGGCAGAGGCTTGTCCCCCTCCACAATGGGCTGGTACCAGAGTTCAAACTCTGGATTGAAGATGTACAGAGCGTTGCTGCAGGGACTATCCCCAGAGGAATGACTTGGCTGGATTCCGCCAAAGACAAAAAGCTCCTTCTTGTAGAAAGCTGCAGAGTGATAAGCTAAATTTGGAACATTCCCTTTTGCCTTAAAGGAAGAAAATCCACAGAACAAATTCCACAAAAAGTGAGCATGCATGCATTTCAAACAGGGGATGGTTAAGTACAGTATGTTAGTAACTTCCCACAAACCCACAGTGACAAGCTTCCACTTCCAGGTCACAGTGTTCAGGATGTACAGCTCGCTGTAGCGCTGACCCTCCCTCAGGCCTCCGTACACGAAGACCGCCTTAGAGTCCGGGTCGTAGGTGGCGGTGTGGCCTCGGGCACACGGCGGTACAGGTCCGGCAGCACACGAGTTCATCGGGAACCAGAAGTCACTGTCTGAAAAGGAGGCCAAGGAACCATCATGTAGAAAAGCATTTCATCTGGTCTCAGTTCTTCCCGTCTACATGCTTTATGAATACAAACAAACTCCACCGACCTAACTCGAGCTTCCACAGCGAGTCCTCGCAATAGTTTTGATCTGATGTTTCTCCTCCGATCAGGACGGCGCTGTCAGGGTCACTCAGACACATGGTGTGGCTCCAGCGCTTGGACGGGCACGCTGAAACTGATCATAATCTGTCAAAAACCCCCATTTCATGAACTCAGATGTGACCACAGCGGCTGTGCGTTCTGACCTGCTCTGTTCTCGGTCTTTATCTGCACCGTCATTTCTTCCTGGCTGTTCATCCTGGACAGCCTCAGCTTCTTCTTGGGGGTTGAAGCCTGGTCTACGTCCTCAGCGAGACTGTCCATGTCCTCAGAGCTCCACGTCAGGTGACGTCTCTTGCTAATGACGGCACGTCTGGGGGTCTTATCCTGTCGGTCACATGTAAAGCATAAAGCACAGACTGATCAGCTGCTTGCCTCACATGCAGAGATGATTATCTACTGTTGAGTGTGATACTCACCGTGGGCCACAGCGGGGGTTTCTTCCCGACAGTGGAGTCACTGGTGTCGACTTTATTCACTTGGATCTCCCCATCGCAAACACTGTCACCCAGGAATGACGATTGGGAAGTTATCTGGAAGGATTTGCATTACAACAACAACTGTAACACATCAGAACGACCAGAAAGTAAGAAATAAAAACGTGGATTACCACTCGTCCCCTGTTTGTCTCAACGTTTCATCGTGAGTGCTCTGGTGCAGCGTGCTGGACAGATCCGTCTCATTGTGCTTTTCTGGAAACAGACGCTTCCTCTGCACCAGAGGGGTGCTGCTGAAGACGCTGGTGTCATCCTGTGGCAGGTCAGCACAGAAAACAAAACACGGAAACATCACTATTTATAACCTCAGCCACAAGATCCCAGGAATTGTGCACTTTAACACTGTCAGCTATCTTTAAAATCAGTTCTATGAGATGCAGGGCAGGTTTTATTAATGCTAGACAGTAACAGAGTGCAGCTACATCTCACCTCTTCACACACTGTGAGCACAATCTTGCCATAAACTCCCCTCCGGCCTCTTTCTGCAGCCACCGTGGCAATTTCAGCGCTCCAGTCCCCTTCCCAGGTCAGACACCTGAGATCAAAACCATTTTAAAAGCTCAGCAAAGAGTTGGTTTTTATGCAAACAGCCTAATGTGTTCCTACGTACCTTACTTGAGAGGACAGAGTTCCAATTCTGTGGACTTCTCCGCCCACCACCACCTCCGCTGACATCGTCGAGTCGCTGCATTTCCACTCTCCCAACCCGAAGATGACGAGCAGTTTGGGGAGAGGCAGCGGGATGTGCACTTGGAAGCACCGCCGGTTGGATTTGCTGCGAGAACCAGACAACGATTTTTTTTTTTCTCTCCATGCGCACGCGGCCGCGTTCATAAAACTCCCACCACGTACCTGATGAACTGTCGGGGGGCGTCACGAAGAGACCAAAGGACGTAAAAGTTGAGGCTCCCCATGATGTCTTCACGGCTGCGATCACTTCACGTTGTAGCGCGCAAGTATTTGACTCGGAGCTCCGTGCTGGCCTCTGATTGGCTGAGGCCAAGACACACAGGTGAGGCCGCGGAGCAGGTAATGTGGCAGCGAGGCCGCGCGCACAGGTGAATTGGAAAGTGATGAAATAGAGGTTTTATGTGCAATATTACAATCTACCTCGCTGCTATACAAGTATTTAGTGTTAAACAACTAATTGTGGCTTTCTACTCTTAATGTTTATAATTTTTTGTTTTCTACACTTATTGCTGTATTTTCACTTTCACTTATATTTTGCTCTTGTTTTATTGTACTTATTATTTTTCAGGCTTTTTCTTAAAAAGGTCGGGAGGTCTATAGTTCCTTCAATACTCTGGTTGTTGAGTTAACCCCTAAAAACTCATCTGTGTGTGAAAATTACACACATATATATATTTCTTCTCCTTTCCAACTTTCAAATGATTTAGATGTAACTTTACACTCTCCACTGGATGCAGCTCCAGCACACCAGCTCACCTTCAACTCCAATCCTTGCTGCCCTTCACTGCTTACCTGGGAGTTTCAGAATATATTTTACATTTCACTTCTTGCTGTTAATGCTTGAATGGTCTGGGTAACTTCATATGAGTCTAATCGCTGCCTCTGATCCTCCAACTTCCTGCCTGGAGATCTTACGCACCTTTCAAATCACTCCCCGAGACTCGCTTTAATCATTAGTCTACTTCATCTTCTTTCTCTTGCTTGTTTTCGATCTTATTTACTTTATTTAAATACTTTTATTGCCTGAATTGACATTTGTTTTGATTGTAAAACACTTGAAACAAGCCACACAAACCACGCACGGAAGGAAAAAAACGAAGGGGAAAAGCTGATTGAATAATTTAACACACATTTGTATTCATAATGAGGCCTTGGGAGGCTCACCTGAGCTTGAAATCCATCCAGCTCGACGCGTCAGGTGGGTTTAAAAACCTCTTTATATGCAGTCAGTGGTTTTAACAGTCAGGTGGCTCGTTCTGTGTGTAAACAGAGCTTCAGGAGTTAATGTGTTCGCCCTCAATAACTCCACAGACGTATGGAAGTTCCTCTATTGAGGTAATGAGGTGTAATGCTAAATATTTTACTGACTTACTGATGTGGTAGAAGTTTTGAGAACTACTTTGTTCTGTCCTCCACCACTCCCTTCAGCAGTGCATTGAAGCCGGCGGTGCAAACTGCATTGCGTCTAGAAGGCCCATAACGATAGAGAAAAAGCCCCACCCTGCAAGCTAACAGGATTTGTTCCTTAGGTTAGCTCAGTATGAACCCCTGGAAGTCTGAATCTGTGCTTTTGAGAGCGTCAGTGCACTGCGGTTTCAAGGTGGAAATGCAAAGTCACGTATTTCATTCACATATTAAAAGCACCCTAGTGACATCTTAAGGGGATTACACAGAAAGAGATTTCCACTGGAGGCTGTCGTTAATCAGAACTATTGTATTTATTGTTGATGCATTCAGTTATATTTTGGATTTAAAATTCATAAATGTTAAAGGACTTAACTCATTAAATGGATTTAGTGACTTTATGTGACCAGGAGGTGAGATATACGAGCTGTGACCGACTCACTTTGGGATCACACTGTTGACATTAATGACTTGTGACATACTTTTGCAAATTTATGACGCTATTATGCGCTCTCATTTCTTTATGTAAACATCATTTAGGTACAGCTGCGACCTATTAAACTGTGCTGCTGCTTTGACAGGACGACCTTGTAGAAGAGAGACTTTTTCGGGATGGACAAAAGTTACATAAAACAAGACAATCTTTCAAGATATTTAGTCGGTTTTGGCGCCTCGTAATAATAAAGGTGGTATAATATCAGTTCATGCTGATATTCTGTCTCTCTTGTGTGTATATAAAGAGTTCACTTACAAAAACAGATAACTCCGTCTTCACAAACCTTCAGAAAACCCACTGTTCCATCGTCTACCTGAGACAACATCAATCAAACTTAAGTTAGTTCTATTTTTGTCATTTCTATTGAGTCAGATCCACTCAACTCCAGTTTGATTGATATTTTCTCAAGCAAACAACCAAAAAATAAGTTTCCTGAAAATCTGCAAAAATGGAGTTATCTGTTTGGATGTGATACTAAAAACTACTTTAATACCTAAACAACACCTAGACAATGTGGTATTTGGTGTCATAACTAAAGGCATCACGAAGGCAATTAAAAGAGCATGTTTGTCGTGTTGCTTTTTAGAAATCCAGCAAAGCATGAGCGAGACGAGATGTAACTCAGGATTGTGACGATCCCTCAGGGAGAGCTGAAAATAAAACCTGGTTTCATCAGCACCTCTGTAACAATTACATCAATCCCCTAATGCCACAATTTAATGGAAACACAAGGGACCATCCTGAAGCGCTTTCTAATCCTGGATCTGCAGCGAGACCGTTACGAAACGACACCTTCTTGGGTTGAATGGGCAGATTCGGTTGCAAAGTCAGTGAAGTTGCATTATCGCAGCTGCTGTACAGCAAACTGTCATCTATTATTCACGCCGTCGAGAGGATCAATCCGACGGCCCAGTTGAATCACAAAGTAAATTAAGACAATCTTCATTTTTATTGTGTAATATAAATTTCAGGAACAAATGCCATCAGCATAACTTACAGTGAAGGTACAGTACAGCAAAACAGCTGGGAAGCTTTGAATCAGTTGCTTTACATCGTATACGTTAGCAGGCATATCTGTGACTTCTTTGGGAACATGCGCACAAGTGAATGCGGTAGAAGCATCGATCTTACAGACAGGATGGAACAAAGCACACTCAAAGTAACGCACTGAGGAGGATGTCCAAAAAAAACAAACAGCGATTTTCACTCACATAAGACGTCTGCACGAAATACATGTAGATGAAACGTACTGGTGCCTACCACCAAAACAGCTAATTAAAAGGGGGGGGCGAGGCAAATGTAAATATTGAATCTATATTACATAATAAGAGCTTTATGCGATAAGGGGATGGCTTTTATTTGTGTCATAAAAAGCAATCTGGAAAACTGTAACCACTTGCTTCAGGTACATTCAACTTTCACCAACACTATGACAGCAGACGTCACAATTTATGCTGTATTCTGGGTTTAGATTCAACACAGATGGAGGGGGAGGGGGGTAAAAAAACAATAAGTTACGCTACAAAGCCGGATGATAAATACAGCGAACGACGACGAAGCAACAGAGCGACCACGGTCATAAAAAAAGGTGCACACACGCACGCACGACAAATAAAACTTCATTTCTTTAGAGCACTGCTGATTAAGCACCTGTCCGGGCGAAATGGATTCTGTGCAGGTGTTCCCTGATCACTGCTACCATAGAAATGTTACGGGTGGAGACGGTATATGCTTTATGACGGGCACTTGACCAAATAGCACAGTGCATACATGGGAATATGGCACATATGCAAGGCTTCTTTAAATACATCTCATCAAGACACAGAAGCACACGAACTAAAACACATAAAGTTCAACATGTGACAACACAAGCCCATAGTGATAAAAAATAGATTTGCGTATATTTAACCTTCTGTATTATAATTTGAATTTTTTTTCCCAAGTGCGGAATCAAAAATAGTTCATTGTTCTCATGAGTAATATTCTTCTGTAAATTATACATTCATAAGCAATAAATTGGCATCTCAGGCACTGTAATAAACCCTGTAGTAAAGTGTTTTGTTTCGCCAAAGGGAGTAGGAGTTGTCAAACTTTAGGAGGTAAGTGCCTTCACCTGGAAAGTCGTGGCTCCCCCCGTGGACGGACAAATGGCTGTCCTGACGGTACACGGGCAAGATTTCGGCCAAGTTGGAGTTGGTGTGACTTTTAGAGCCCTTCTCGACATCGCCGTTGCTGACAGGCCCTGCAATGGAAAGCATATAAAGCCACAAAGTCAACACGCCGCCTTGGACCCCAGCTGGAGGAAAACACATAAAAATGCGATTACGGTGTGTTTTATAGATGTGTTTTTAGAGAACCGTCATGAGAAAAAAAGGCCTACATGCCAGATCAAATGGGAGCTAAATTTAAGCTGCCTCAAACCTTAAGTTGCAGACTCACCTTCCAGCTCCTCCTCTTCATCTTCGTCATCGCTTGACTCGCTGATGTGCACCGTGATCGACCGACTCGTCACCGGAGTCCAGTCGAAATATATGCCGAAGCCAATGTCATAACCGTCCGTAGCGAACTCCCAGCACACTTTCTTGGCCTCGGGCACGGTGGGCACGTGAACCGTCATGATGTCGCCTCGGTACACCGTCACCATGCTGTCCTTCTCAGTTCGGAGCTTCGCCTTGAGCTCCTTCAGCGCGGCAGATGTCCAAGTCGCTGGGGGACTCAGGGGTGGCATCTGGGCTGCCGACGGAAGGAGCAGATGAGTTCAGTCTAACAGCGACTCTGGTCATCAAGCCTTATTAAAGAGCTGATCTGACATTTCAGAGCACATTCTACACTGTGCAATGGTATTAGTGACACATTTATTAAATCTGTGAATCCAAATCGGCGAGAAAACAAAGCGGCGGCCCTGATGGCACACTCAGCAGGTCCTCACCTTTCATCTCAGCGGAGAGCTGACAGCTCCCAGCGCTGTTGTTCTCCTCGCCTCCTTCCCCCAGGGCCAGCTCAGCAGGGGCCTCTTCATTACCCTCAAAATGCACACACACACATAACACATATTACTGGAGAGAAGTCATAATAGATTAGATCTGTGTGATTATTGCTGCTTGTTGACAGCTCAGCCCACATACATGAGCTGTGCCTACCTCAGAGTGCTGTCCTGAATCCTCCTTGGTTTCATCCATGTCAGCTGGGTTGGTGGACTGGCCGAAGCCCTCTGACAGACTTGTATTCTGGAGCCTGAAGTAAAAGCAGCAGCAGGGCAGAAATCAGAGTATTTACACGGCGATGGCATTAAGATGCAAGAAGCTCCCCCAGCAGTACGTGTCAGCCCCTATAGGAGCCGTGCGTCGGTAGCAACAGGTTACCTGTCCGGCGGTGTGTTGTCGCACTGTTTGGATGTTATTCCGGGGAAAGACGAGAAGGACAAGGATGACAGCCGTGACTGCAGCTCCGATGTAGCCTCTAATGTCTCCATGGCTGTCATGACAAGACAAATAGCTCAGTCTGCGTGGCTGGAAAAGATGAAACCCCGCCCCTTCCGACCACAGGGAGGGAGAGAGATGAAACTAGCCTGTGAACGCAGCCTGGATAAACTAAACCAACTGCTGTGTGACGCTAACACACGCAGCTAACCGCAGCACTGACTTATTATTTAACAGCCAAAGCCGTAGAGAATAATAATGTGTGTGTGTGTGTGTGTGTGTGTGTGTGTGTGAGCTGGGTTCCGGCTTCGAGCTCCATCCTGTTTAACTCACATTAGCTTGCAGCTGGCTGGCTAGCTGCTTTAGCTCGTCTTAGCTACGTAGCAGTTAAAGTGCCGCGGACTGTGTGAGCTCGAACTTCTCTTACCACGATGCAGCGCCGCTTGTCTGGTGACCTGGTGTGGCTTCTTTAGCTTGAATCCAACTCAGACCTTTAGGAAATACACCTCCATATCCCCGCAGTCATGTGACGGGTTTGTCCACGGTGCTGCTGCTGCTGCTGCTGCCTGACAGGAAAACACAGACGAGGATTTTTGAGACTTCCGAGTTTTCTCGAGCGTTTCCGAATGTGGTCGAATGAGCGACTTACCGGGACTCGGTCACCGCAGCTGGTGACAGATGCTTAACAGTAACACACAGAGGTGCTGATGGGATATTGACACACTGGTGGCTTCATCCAGCTCAGTATTTACATTTTAACCTGATAATTGAGCCATTTTCAAGCTATTCCACAGTAAAAATCAATAAATCACTGCTCCGTGTTCAGTCGGTTAACCTGTGTTCCACATTAAGCCCTTATAGGGCAATGACCATATTTGGTAACTTCCTTGGATGCTCCCCCTGTACCTTGAACCATGTGCTCATTGATTTAGTTTTTATATTAGTGCCAATATCACTACCTTACGAAAAATGTCACTAAACAAATGTTCCAGGCTCTTTATAAACGCTGTGTTACTGGTTTGCATTGAACTCCACTTTGATGTATTTTTTGAGATTAGTGCCAAAACCACCACCCAAGAACAATGTGACTAAATGAACTTACCAAGCACTTTATAAATACTACTAAATACTAAATACTACTGGTTGTGTGACTATTATTACCTCAAACTAAAATGTTTCTTACTTTTTCTTTTATTTATCATAAATTCCCTTTTTTTTAAAAAACTGTAGACGGGCAAGTTACCATATATGGTAACTTTATCCATCTTGATTTGTACCATTTTTTTTAAAGTCACAAAAGTAAAAAATATCATGAAATATCCTTCAGTAACAGCCTAGGGTTGGAATTTTCCAAGTATTTCAAGGAGTGCCCTATAAAGGATTGTGACACAAAGAGCAGACTGGCTGCAGCAGTGCTTCTTCTTCCTCTAATTTTATTCTCATTTCATAATGTCTATTCTAAACTGCCAATACTTTTAATAAGACCTTGAATTTTCCATGTTTTTATTAGATCTTTTTTCTTCTTTTTCAGTCCATCAGTTGTAATTATTCTATAACATTCAAAAAATATATTTAACATAAAATATTTGTTCTTCTGTGTATTTTTATCTTTAACATGTTTGTATTTTCACCTACAAATCACTGTGAATAACCTTCGTGTATGAAGATGTGCTGTATAAATAAAATGTTCATTTAAAGCTATGAAAGAAAAAGAAAAATAGATCCGAGGCTATTTATAAAACCCTGGGTGCAGCTATGAATGTAAAACAATGTTCTGAAAAAAGTCATAGACATAAAGCCACAACAAAGACAGTTAATGGAATTTTTATATTTTTGATTTCTGTTGCATGTTAAAATGGCATCAATATGGTTCCCTCTTTTTTTTTCTTTCTTTCTTTTTCTTCTTCTGATGATTTGTTGTGGTGGCTCCACATGGAGAAGAACTGACAGAGGAATTGAAAAAATGGGATTGTGAGATGAGTAAACAAGAGCAACAGTATCACTAATCAGAGACATAATGGCCTTACTTCTACGATGACATTACGGATAGTGCGCTACTTGCATTATCTAGTTGTGATAAACTGAAAGGTGAGTGCTTCAGACTTTGTACAGGGGTTATCAGACCGCCGCTGTTGTGACCATTCATTGCCTACGGTCAACCTTTATGGACAGCATCAATAAATAAAAACTCGCTTGTTGCTTGCTTTTTGGCACAAAATGGCAAGATTAAACTTTGCCAAATACGTGTAGAGAAGCCTGATGAACACTGGGAGCACATTGTTTGGTGAAATGATGATCAGCTCAGCGTATTCGTCCTGAACCTGGCCAGAACTATCACAGTGAATGCACAGTCCTGACAGTGAAGCACGGAGGTGGGAGTGTGATGATATATACATGAGTGCAAAAGGAGTTGAGGAGATGACATTTATTGATGGCACCAAAATGCTGGCAGAAGCTCGACAGAACAGGAATATTCCAGCGTGATAACGATGCAAAGTGCACTGATAATATCACCCAAGAGTGTCTGAGGAAAGAAAAGGAAAAAACTATGATCTGGCCGAGTGCATCGCCTGACCTGAACCCAAGAGATTAGCTTTGGGGTATTTCAAAGGTAGACAAATACAACCCTCCAGCAAAAAGCAGCTGGAAAAAAGAAAATTCTCTGAAGAACATCTGAGGAGGATCGAGTCTCATCAAAAATTAAGTTGGACAAAAAACCCAGAAGATTTAAACCTCAGTAATGTAAGGTGTACTAACGTTTACTGCATTGAGTTCCCATTGTAGGGCTGGTGTTTTTAATGTAGGATACAGAAATGGTTCACTTTAATTTATTTAATAAGTGCAAATAGCATAGAAGCAATGCAATCAATGTAAGGTTAAGTGATGATGTGCCTAAATGTCACGTGTTGTATGCTGTATCAGAGTATCAAGAGAATGTGTAAAGTAAAGATATGAGTTTTCCATTAGGGTGTTTCTGTATAATGTGATTTATACGCAGCAGAGATGCACTGCTGCAGAGATTTACTGTTCGACAAAAAACGCAGCAGCGGCGTCTCCTTGGTCTGAGCGTCCGTGAGAGAAATCCAGGGAAAAGGCCTTAGTGGAGAAAAACAGAATGTTAAAAGATAGAGGTTACTTGAATTATTTGTTTTTCTTGAATATTTATGCGACAGCAAAGAACAACGCTGCATCCTTGAACTACTCACTCGTCTGAAAGAAGCGAAGCCGCATAAGATGAGCTGATGAAACTCTGTGGATTTAACTGCGCAGCGTTTTCCCATTTCTCCTTAAACATGCTGTTTATCAGAGAGAGAGCCTCGCCGGAGCCCAGACCGGCAGAGGTGCAGGTATTTAACAGGCTGTACAGCACCGCACACGCCCAGTTCAGAGCCAGAGAAAGGCCACCTGCACACAGGAGTCACACATCCACAGGTACAATGAATGCAGCACATATCAAACGCACAAAAAGGTCAAATGATGTCTGCAGTGCTGAAATGTCACATACCTTTCATTGTAAGAGGACACGACGCCTCTACGAACACAGGATCTGTCAGAGCTGTCGTCAGCTGGGTGCAGGACGACCACACGTCTGCAGCGTCACAAGCCTCGAAGTCATACTGCGGCTTCAGAACGTAATCGTGTCCAAGAATTACAGCTAATCTAAAACAGAAAAGAGGGGCAGTCATCGGCTCTAAATGAAATAAAAATGTGTGTGTGTGAGTGTGGTAGTACCTGGTGACGGGCACAGCGGAGGTGAAGCTGTACACGAGGCAGTGCTTGGACAGGTGAGAGTGGAGGTCAGCGCTGACTTCAGGGAGGTGAGAAGGCAGACAGCAGAGGAACAGAACATCTGCCCACGCCGCCAGTCTGCGGTTGTCGAAGAAACATTCAACTCCTCTCTGGACAATCTCCACTGGAAACAGAATATCAGAGGATGTGAATTTTTTCAGTATGTATTGAAGTTAAACTCATGGTGCAATTTAGTTGAATGAACTGGGCTGGTTCTCCTCCTTCATCTGTCCGGCCAGCTTCACCATCAACTACTGTGTATGTACAGCAACATGACAATAAACTTGATTTGATGAGGATTAACTCATCAATATCTAAAGGTCACAATAAGCAACCAAAAGCCATTTACTCTATAAGCTGAGCACATTTCCATCACTTTTACTTTAAATGCTTTAACTGCAATTTGCTGGTAATAATTTCATATTTTTACTCAAGTCGGATTTTTCATGCAGGACTTTTACTTCTAATGATTTTTACATGGTTTTAATGTTAATGAAGTAAAAGATGTGAATACTTCATCCAGCACTGGCATCAGCAAGTTGACTTCTTTATATATTGATCCTCAGTGTTTATTTAATAAAGCTGTGCGGAGGATGTTGAGGACAAAAATGTTTGAGTCGACAAAACTGCCATAAATCTATTACTG